CTGAGGAAGACTGGCCCTGGGCTAACATCTGTGCCCATCTTCTTCCACTTTATGTGGGACGCCACCACAGCATGGCCTGACAAGCGGTGTGTCAGTGCACACCTGGGATCCGAAAGCGGGCCACCAGCAGCAGAGCGCGCGCACTTAACCACTACGCCACGGGGCCGGCCCCAGAACTGTTTTAATTCTTATAAAACTTTTTGAATGGAGACTTTCCTCTAGATTCATAAATTTTCTCGTGACTACATCTGAAATTTTTTTTTTTAAATTTTTTTGTGAGGAGGATTGGCCCTGAGCTAACATCTGTTGCCAATCTTCCTCTATTTTTTTTTTTTTTTTTTAATATGTGGGACACCACGACAGCATGGCTTGATGAGTGGTGCATAGGTCCGCATCCGGGATCCGAATATACAAACCCCAGGCCGCCAAAGCAGAGCTCGCGAACCCAACCACTGCGCCACCGGGCTGGCCCTGAAATATCTTTATTAGATTGTTTATTTAGTCTTAGTTTAGATTTTCATTGTTTATTTAGTCTTAGTTTAGATTTTCTAAGTTCACAGAGGTTTGGGATCCATGTTTATCTAAGTTAATATATGGTTAATCTTTTTTTATTTTAAAGGAAAATATGAATTGTATTTTTTAGGAGGATGTGGGTAGACATGTCAGATTAGTCACCTTTTTTCTCCTTATTGATAAGTGTTTCTGTCTTCCCATCTGACTAAAGTTATTGAAGTGAGTATCTTTGTATGCTCCCTCAGAATTCCTGAGGGAGTGACTGAACTTTTCCTAGCAGAGGGTATGAACCCTGGTTTTCTTAAACCTGCTTTAGTTTCAGTTAGAAAGATATGTAAGTTAAAATTGCTAGCAACACAGATCATCTAAATGAGCAGAATGCACTCCCCCTCTGATAAACATTATTGGAAGAATGAAAAAATAAGAGAATAAAATGTATTGGAGGCATAGATGGTGGGGTGAAGTGTTTTGTGCAGGAATAAGAATCTTTTATCTGTAATCAATTTGTTGGCCTATTTTCAGACATTAGAAAATCAAACATAGTTACCTCATTATGCTACCTTTACTCTATGTATCATCTAAGGAAATTTAAAAAAATGAGTTTTAAGACAGCTAAAAAAATTAAATCATTCTTGTTACTATTAACATTTATTTAATATTTTTAGGGTTTCACACATATTATTTCCTTTAATTTTAATGATCACCCTGAGAGGTAAGTAGGGAAATTTGTTGTCGTCATTGCTATATTACAGACATGGCACCGCTAAAAATCAAACACTTTTTGGTGGCAGAATAAGGACTGAATCCCAAGTCCTTCTGATTCCAGGAAAAAGTGTAGGTTTTTGCAATTTTGTGGTGTTACAAGCACCTGCCAGCAATTAGGAGACTGTGGTTTTTTATTCAAGATATCCTTTTGATCCTGAAGAAATCATTTACTTTAACAGTTCTGTTAATATAAAGATTATTTGACTTCTAAAGGCATTTCCAGGGGCCGGCCCCGTGGCTTAGCGGTTAAGTGCACGCGCTCTGCTACTGGTGGCCCGGGTTTGGATCCTGGGCGTGCACCGACGCTCCGCTTGTCCAGCCATGCTGAGGCCGCGTCCCACATACAGCAACTAGAAGGATGTGGAACTATGACATACAGCTATCTACTGGGGCTTTGGGGAGAAAAAGGGAAAAAAAGGAGGAGGATTGGCCTGGATGTTAGCTCAGGGCTGATCTTCCTCACCAAAAAAAAAATAAAGGCACATAAAGGCACTTCCAGCTTTATTTACATACAGAAGTACACTCCCTTGATAGAGTGAGCTGAAGGCCCTGTTAATAAAGAGCTTGATTAACTGATCTAAACTAAGTTGTGATACTGGGATTCTTTTTGTTCAGTATGTTCTGTGTTTCCTGTTGTCCTCAATCTTCCTCTAGGTCTAGACCACAAGAATTTCTTCTATACATGTGGGTAATATTTATAATTCTTGGTACTTTTCTTCCATCCATTCAATAGGCCTGGATTCTTTCACCATGACTCTTCTTGTATGCAGAAAATTGTCCCATTCATCGAGTGCCTTGACACATATTTCCTTGCTTAATCCATGTATGGTTGTTAGAAGGATTAAGCCAAGCGTTATGTGTTCAAGGCACAGTTTAGAAGGCAAAGTTCCTGGCATATTGCCATTCCTAGTATGTAAACTAAGAAATTATGGCTCAGAAAGTTGAAGTAACTTGCCTAGATTTACACTGCTGTTATGTGCCAGGGTTGAGAGCTAGGTCTCTTTAAACTCCAAAGCCTGTTTTGGTTTTGTCATTTCACTGGAGTGTCTTATCAGAAACTTAGGTATTTACTTTAAACAGTGGTCATGTAAACAATCATTATTGGTCAGAAAGGACATTAGATTAGCACAAGTCTGTTACTAGTAATTGAAAAGCAACTGGCTATGTCTTACTTTCAAGTGCTTAGTAATCTTTGCATATGAAGAAGAGCACAGTGTGATTTGCCATTTTTTATGGTAATTATAAAGGTTATTAGTACTAATTCCCAGTGAATTGTTAGAGGAATAGTTCTAAATTTTGCTTACAAGTATTGTTATGCTTGTGTGTGTTGTATGGACTAACTCTACATGCATGTTCTCCGAAATTTATATTAAGTAAGCACATGCTTTGTCTTTTGGAATTTTTTCTCTATAATTTTTACATCTTGAAAAATACATTTAAACATCTAAGATTTTGAAGATATTAGGTAATTTGAAATATAATGAACTGTTTAAATTTAAAACATTTTGATCCATAATCTGAGTTTTATCTAAAACAAATGTGCAGATATTCATAATGTAGTCAGACTTGCCTATATGTGTACTCAGTGGGAATTTACAATCAAGTTTTTGTACTAGAGTGCATTACATAACAGATTTATAGAAATGTAATTTTTCTGTAGATGATATTATAGGGCAAAAACGGACTATTTCGGGGAAGTTTTAATAATGTGAAAGTAATGAAGCTAAAGAAGTAAGTTTTAAAGAGGAAAACAAGAGAGTCCTTTTCTTTTATTAAACTTTGTCAAATTAGGTAACACCTGAGTAGTTTGACAGTTGTAGAATTAATTGATCTGATATAAACAAATCTGTTTGAAGCTAGCTATAGCTTTGGAAAACATGAAATGTCCTTTTAAGAAGTTAAAAGATTTTTATGAGTGGGAGAAGGGAAGGAACAAACAACTTACTAGATTTTTATAGTTCTAAATGTAATGAGACAGTAATTTATTATAATCAATTGTTCTGGGTTCATTTTTTATTCTTATGTTATGAAATATGAAATCAGAAGTTAGTAACAATTAGGAAATTTTTTACATTAGTGCTTAACCTAAAAAAACACTTCTGTCTTTGACAGATCCCCTCTCACCCTACTCCTCTAATGCCTTCTCTCTACAGTATTTATTCTTGTCGAGTTTCACTGTGTAGATCCATCACTGCTCTGTAATAGCAATGATGTTTTATGATCTGTGTTCAGTTGGGGTACCAGAAATGTTAGGCATATTGCTTAATTGTCTTAAGTTTTCTTATAGTTATAATTTCTAGGATATTTCCTTAGTACTCGCTACTGAATTGAGAGAGATGAAGAAAAGAGCAATTTATTTTTTTCATTTATCGTCGTATTTCCTGACTCTGTTGCTTTTCTGCTTTCTCTTTTAGACAAACAAAATGCTAAGTACTTTTCCTACATTATAATTCAGAAAGTAAATGATCTGAATTTTCTGATCTTTTGTTAATTTATTTCAAGTTCTTCATCACTGTGCTTCTAAATTTTATCTTACAGGTATAATTGAAATCCTGAAAGAAATGCATGAAATGGGAGTAAATCCTGATCAGGAGACATACGTAAATTACGTGTTTCCAGCTTTTAATAGTGTAAAATCAGTTCATGCTGTTTTGCAGGTGAGTACAAGTGTTGTCTTAATTTCCTAATTGAAGAGAGTATCTTTCCTCCCTAACGTTTCATGGTAACCAAAAAAAGTCATGGAGGACTAAAAATGGTCTGTCTATATACAATTTTCTAAAGCTTTGTAAAAATATTGGTTAGTGTTAACATCTGTAGTGGGTAAACTTAAAAAATGTAAAAAGGTTCAAGTAGCATTTTTCTTGTGTGTTCAAAAGACAATATGTCAGTATAGAAAAAGTTTAAATGAAACAATATTCACTCCTTAATCCCACTCTACAATGCAACTGCAGTTTTCATGTTTTGAATATTACTCTTCACTTCTATGTGAATTTTCATAATACACTCATTGTGTATTTACTGTTCTATGGTGTTTTTTTTTTAATAATCTTTTGTTTGACTCCAAAGCATTATTTTCCTGCCAAATACTTCCTGTCCACACAAGAATAGGCAAGGCATTTATGAAGGGGCATATGAAGAAATCAACTTGGACAGTGCATTGGATCAGCAACGGTTGCACTTTCCATTTTCAAAACAAAGTGCTATGCAATTAGGAACAACGTGGCAGAGCGCCAAATACTTGAATAAGAAATATTTTGTTCAAAAGATCTGTTTCCTAGGTGGTTATTCACATAATGCCTTGATTTTTTCTGATATTAATGGAGTATTTTTTCTTTCTTTGAAATAGTTACGTAATTACAATCCTCTTAAAGGTAGAGTTCGTCTTTAGTGTCTTTACCTGTCTTCACTGAATATTTAGCAGAGTATTTTGAGCCTACGCTACACATATTTTACTGTTAAAAAAGTAATTTTCCCACATATTTTTATTTCCCCAAAACCTGCTTTTTTCACTTGGCACCTTTCTATTATAGTATGTAATTCCACAAATTATTTTTTATGCTTGCATGCTGTTTTGTTGTCTGGATATACCATAATTTATTTTTATTCGTTGCTTATTATTGATTAGTTGGTTTTTAATATTGTCCCATAATACAGTGATTCAATAAATATATTTGAGCTAAATTTTGGCTCATATACTTAAATTATTAAATGATATTGGGACAAATGATTAACCATTTGAAGTTAAAGTTAAATTTGATCTTTACCTCACTATATACCCCAAAATACCATTTTAGATCGATGTGTTAATTTTTTTTTTTTTTTTTTTTTTTTTTTGTGGTGAGGAAGATCACCTTGAGCTAACATCCATGCCAATCCTCCACTTTTTGCTGAGGAAGACCGGCCCTGAGCTAACATCTATGCCCATCCTCCTCCTTTTTTTCTCCCCCTTTTTCTCCCCAAAGCCCCAGTAGATAGTTGTATGTCGTAGTTGTACATCCTGCTAGTTGTTGTATATGGGACACTGCCTCAGCATGGCCTGACAAGGGGTGCATCAGTGCGTGCCTGGGATCCGAAACCAGGCCGCCAGTAGCGGAGCACACGCGCTTAACCGCTAAGCCATGGGGCCAGCCCCCTAATGCATTGAATTTTTATTTCCTTGTGAATAAGAGAATTGTTCTAGTGTCTTCAATAGTAAGGAAGGAATAGTAATAGAAGGAAGGCATTGTAAGGGTAACAGATTATCTGAATTTGAAGGTAAGCATTTAATTTGAAACGTTGGAACTCCATCTCATAGCTTTTGCTAAAATTCAATTATTCAGTTTATGTATTGTTCTGGAAAATGATTTTTTAAAATGAAGGCTTATCAGAGAATATAGTGATATAAATAAATGGGAAAATAGGAAATTTGAATGGCATATCAAAATATTTTTAGCTCAGGCATATTATCATTGAAATATGCTTTATCCCTAGGAAAATGGATGTCTACCTGAAAGTAATATATTTTCTCAAGCTGAATTGAGAAGTGAAGCAGTAAATGGAAACTTAGACTATGTTTTATCATTTTGTAAGTATGCAACATTAGCAGTAAACTTGGCAGGTGTTGATTTCAGTTACTATTGAGGGCACACAGGGTAGTTCATGCCCTCAGTGCCTACCTCAGGGTAGTTCCAGGTAACTCCCTTGAAAGCAAGAAAGTTTTTATATGTTTTATTTAAGTCAGACTGTTAAGACAGTTTATAAGTTGAACTTATATAGATAATTTGGAAGTAATTTTGAAGTTAAAAGGACTTCAGTGTTAGATTGGACTGGGGACCCAGAAGACTTGTATCCTATTTACAATTAATTAAGCTGCTGATTATGGGACCTGGAACAAGTCTTTACCTTTCTTTACTTCAATTTCATGAAATGGAGATAGTATTACCTATCTATCTACCTTATGGGAGTTGTTGTGAAAATCAAATGAGAGAGTGTTTCTGAAAGTGTTTTCTAAACTAATACCTATCATAACCATAAGTTACATGAAGCCATCTTCCAGTCCTCATTTACAAAAACACAGCAAATGTTTTTACTGAACACTTAAAAATGCTAGGGTGCTTTACAGTGTTAATTGCATGTTAATAAAATTACCTCCATTGATAGATGAAGAAAGGCATAGAGAGGTTAAATGATTTGCCCAAAGTTAGTGATTGAGCCAGAACCAAGATCTTCTCACTTTAACCTTATTCTTTTCATCGGTGTCTTTAAGATATTTCTTGAAGTCTTCATTTTTGAACGTATCCATGACATTATACTTGACAGTTGTTCAGATCTTGTGAAAAAGATATTTAAAAACAAAACACGAACATCAGTTTCTAGCCCCCTAAATGTTAAAAGTTAAGCTCTGATTAATGTATTCAAATTGTATGGGTGGAAGCCTTGTAAAAACCAGATGATTGGTACATATTGCCTGTGTATATGTTATTTAAAATAGATCATTGTAATGTAAGGGAAAGGCAAAGTGTTCAGTATGCAAAGTGATGACTGTTAGAGGTGTAGTTGTTTGAGTTGAATGTTGAGTGTTAATGCTGGCTGCTATCTGAGTGTATTGATTTTGCCTTTCACTCTGTATAATATATAGATTTCCCACACTGACAAGGTGAAAACGTAGAAGCATTAGCAGAGGAATCTGGGCACAGAAGGTGCATACATGAGAGCTGCCTTTTCCCTTTATCATACCATCCATTCCACTTCATTGTCAACTTCTTGATTTTTCAGACTTGTTTGTTGCTAAGGAAACTAGATGCTTTTTATCAGCAGCCTTCAGTGTGCTGAGATATTTCTAGTCACCTTTTTAATGAATAAAAACTTGACAATATTCTGTAAAATAGTAATTTGAATAGTATAAAAGTAAATTTTCAAGAGGTTGTTTATTAAATTTGAAAAAGAAAAATTCCAGGAACTTTAAGACAGAAGAGTATTTCAGCTCTCTCCTGTCAGTGCCTCCCCCCCCCCCACTTTGATTTACAGGTCTTTGAAGAGCAGTTAGTTCTATAATTGCTGGTATTTGATGTAGGCAGCTCGTAGGTATGCACTTTTGGTTACTACATCATAAGGAATGGCAGGTAGTAGGGAAGAGTAAATGGCTTATCTTAATCGAGTTTGTGGAGTAGTAGGAAACATGTTCCCACTTGTGTTTGTAGGCATGGAAAATGGATTTGATCAAGCAAAATTAAAGGTTACTGAAAGGCATGTGCTGTCATGCACTGTATAATGATGTTTCAATGATGGACCACATATATGACGGTGGTGCCATAAGATTAGTACCGTATAGCCTAGGTGTGTGAAGTAGGCTGTTGCATCTAGGTTTGTGTAAGGACACTTTATGATGTTCACACAACGACAAAATCACCTAATGATGAGTTTCTCAGAACATCCCCGTCGTTAGGTGACACGACTGTAGTTGTGTCTGCTTTCAAATTCCTTGGGTGACTAAATGCAGGTCATTTTTAAAAAGATTTTTAGATTTTCAAATGCTGTATAAAACCACTCAGAAACTTATGCTCCCTGTTCAAGGGATATAACAGTTGATCTAAAATAATTCTCCTGTGTGTGTGTTAAATTTTTATTCATATTTAGGGAAGATGAGCAAATAGTCTTAAAATCTACTGTGACTTTTCCCATGAGTTTTCTTTTTTTAAGTTAGCCAGGTATCTTAATCTTCACCTAAAATGTATTTATTAATTTTGTCTTCAGAATTTGCCTCCACTAAGAATTCCTCTGTAATTCCATCCATCTTGTATCATTCAGTATCCACATGACATATATACTGAAAAGATTAAATCAATTACTTATGGGACCATTTTAATACAATGACAGGGAAAAATGAATTCAGGAAAAACGCCTACTTTGATTCTTTCCCTTGCTAGTTACAGCAAGGGTTATGTGAAGTATCAGGCCTCGTGTGTTAAGGCCTGATTCTTGCACTAAGGCAAATCAGGCTCACAATGTCAGCATTGAAACATACAAGGTTGTAGACTGTTAAATGCCAGAATGAGCAGTAGAGCAAACAAATGCTCAGAAAAGTGAAAGATCAATATAAATCAGCTACATAACAGGTAAAGACCTATTTTATTATGACTTTAGGTTGTCACTTGCATGAATGCAGGTCATTAATCACAGTGGAAAATGGAATGAGAAAATGTGAATGATTCAACAGAACCTACTACCACTTACAGAAAAAAAAACTTTTCCCTTCATCTACAGTCTTTATTTATTTATTTTTTGGTGAGGGAGATTGGCCCTGAGCTAACATCTGTTGCCAATCTTCCTCTTTTTGCTTGAGGAAGAGTGTCCCTGAGCTAACATCTGTGCCAGTCTTCGTCTATTTTGTATGTGGGATGCTGCCACAGCATGGCTTGGTGAGTGGTGTATAGGTCTGCACCCAGGATCCAAACCCGCAAACCCTGGGCTGCTGAAGCAGAGCACGCGAACTTAACCACTACACCACCGGGCCAGCCCCCATCTACAGTCTTTAAAGGACAGAAGTCCTGTAGGGTAGTTACAGTCTCTCCCTTTGTAGTGCTACATATCCAATAACATACAGCCTCGGTATGTGTAACTGGCTGACTCAGAGTATGCTGGTAGATTAGTTATTGCCATTTTTACAAAAGAATATTTATAAAATTCGTTAATTGTATATGTTCATGAAAATGAAGTAAAAATGTTTTAAAAAGGTAGCTTCTATTGCAAATATATATAACTGCATTATCTAATTACTTTTGTATGAAAACATTTCCATTTTAAAAATGAAATTTCCAAAATGAAAATTAAAGCATATTGGTATAAATGTGTTTCCCAATAAGTTGATAATTTAAGTGTTTTTGGTTTTGGTCTGGAATTTAATGGTGGCTATTTTCTTTTGCAGTGGAATCAAATACATTGCCTTTCTCATTTAACTCTTTGAGAGGCAGCCTAATTCTAGGCTTTAGAAGGTAAGATGATCCCCTTATATAATGTTCTTTGCCTGAATATGGACTGATTTCTCCTTCCTTTTCGACCTACTATATGAGGAAAGAGACAGTGCACTTGTTACCTGAAATAACCTTTTATTTTTCCTGCTAAGTAGTTGAATTGTGTTTAGGTAGTCTTTTATATCACCTTTTCCAAGAAATACACATAAATTTGGTATAGGTCTTGTTTCAAAGAAGAAAGCACTATTCGAAATTGGCAAGTTGGGGTTATAGATAAATTTGCACATATGTTTGATTTATACTTTTTGAGTATTTAATTACAAGGTGACTTTTATTCAGTATAATACTGCTCTCCTCCTCTGTGTGCTCGGGGAATATTAATGACCTTTCCCTCCCAAGTTTGTTGTTTTGAAAATATTCAAACATAAAAGTTGAAAGAATAGTAAAGGAAACACCCATATACTCTTTATGTAGATTCACGATTTGTTGATGTGTTGCCATATTTACTTGCTTTCTTTCTCATACACTTTTTCTCATATATGTATACACACACATGCATGTACATAAACACAATTTCTCTTCTTTTTTGCTGAACCACTTGAAGTTGTAGACATCATGATACTGGGTCCTTCAGCTTAAATCTCTTAAGAATAAGGTCATCATCTATATAATTGTAATACCAATATCGCTCCTAAAAAATTAACAATACTATAATATCATCTAATATACATGGTCCATGTTCAGATTGTCCTAGTTCTAAAAATTTCTTTTATAGCTGTTTTACTTTTTGATTGAGAATTCAATTAAGTTCATGCATTGCATTTGATTGCTATGTCTTTAGTTTCTTAATCCAGAACAATTCCCCCCTTTTTTTGCTCTTTTATGACACTGACTTTTTTTGAGGAGTCCAGGCTACTTTCTCTGTAGAATGTCCCTCCCACGTTTTGTATTTGATTTTTTTCTCATGATCAGACTCAGATGGAACATTTTTAGCAAGAATACTTCATAGGTGATAGACATTTCTTACTGCATCAAGAGATACACTGTCAGGTGTCCAAAATTGGTGCCAATCAGCTAAGTTTTATCACTTGGTTAGGGTGGTAGCCCTATGTCTCTCCCTTGCAAGGTAACCTCACCCTCTTTGTAATTAGTAAGAAGTCTGTGGGGTGATACTTGGAGACAGCCTCTCTATCCTATTTCCCAGCATCTTTTTTCACTCAGTGGTTTTAGCAGCCATTGGTAGTCCTTGTTGAATCAATTGCTAACAGTCGTGTTTGCAAGAGGATGAGTTTCTAATTTTGTCATTCTTTCTGCATTTATAAAGTTAATGACTTCTGATACTAATCTCAGTAATTTTTAGTCTCTTCATTGGTGGGAGCACTAGGGTTTTCTGTGAACGTCTCCAGAACTGCTGTTGCAGTCAAGAAGAGGCAGAATAAGTAGGTGGGATTCTGTGTTGCTGCCTTTTCTTTAGCCAGGGTAGTTCCGTTCTTTTCAATTACAGTTTTTTGTGAAGTTTAAAAAAACAAACCAATGTCTGTGCCTTTAAAAATAAAGTTTGAAAAATACAGAATACATAATCATGTGGATAAAAAATGCTGGTAGAACCAGATTTTAAAGAAAGAACCTATAATGCATTATGAAGTGAAATATAATAACATTTTCATATAGTTGTCCTTGAAAAAAGACTTCAAAAAGTTTTTCGTATAAACGTCTAGGTTGTGGGTATTTCCTTCTTTAACTTCACTAACGTTAAATTTTTTAGGTAGTTTGAATGTCATTTGTTATAGACTTCTTAAACAAAGCACTTGGACTATGAAGTTGATCCTCACTCCCGTGTCCTTATCAGTACTCGGCTAAAGACTGAGGACGACTCTGTGGATCTCCAGAGCTCTCTTTGTCAAGGTCTCTCCTCTCTGATACTCTGCCCTGTGAGAATAAGTTTTAACTAGTTCCTTCCAGGAAAGTATTTTAAATCTGTAGGCTCTAAAACTATATTATGTTGATGAATTTTTCTTACTGTAGATAAAGAAAAGTTTCAGGTTGTAGTAATTTGGCATTATCTGTAAGAATATGTGCATAATTTGAAGCATTTGTGACTAGAGGTGCTTTCTTTCTTTCCCTCCCACCCCCGAAACTACTAAAAATTCAAAACGTAACCAACGTTACAATCCGCTGTTGTTACAATCCATTATCTTGGCATTAACGTAACCTTCTATTTTTTCATTCAGTGCTGAATCAAGCAGTATATATATTTTAAAATCCCTTTGTTAGTATATTCAGTATGACTTGAAATAGTCACCTATCACATGCTTCTTAGGACCCTGTTGTATTCTAGCAACTTTAGAATTGGCTGAGGAGGAAAAAACTGAGTGCTGATTGGCATTCCCACTAGACTTCAAGTTAAACCTACCTGTAACTCCTATAAAGATTAACATATAGGAGATTTGCTTAAAGTTACTCTTTACCGAAAATAATTACTCATAGTTATCAGATATGTAAGAAGTTACAGAACATTAAATGAGATTATAGTCACTTTAGCTGATCCTAAGGGAAAGTTGAATATGCTTTTCAGTATTGGAATGCAATTTTTGGAATAGTTATCTACCCTATTTAGTATAACCTGCCTGCTGTGGAGGTAGGTCCAGGGTCTATGAGGCATAGTTCCTAGCATGTGTTCTGTAATCTGTTTTGGCCCAGATTAATTTTTTTTGCTATTCCACAATATTTTTGAAAAACAAGCACTGTTTTCTTTATGCCTTTTGAGAGTAGTGTTGAAGTGGCAAGCTGGTATTTCTGTAAGGTGATATTCTCAAGAAATGGTCATTGATTACTAATCAAGTGTAATTCGTTCTGAAAGTTTTCCAATTTATCAAATTGTCCGTTAACATATATAGGCAAAATCGCCTGTAGAAAACTATTTAAATTCAATACTGCTTAGTTAGGGTGAGATTATTCAAGATTATTAGGGAATTTTTACTTTTAAACTTTTTAAAAAACTAAGACTACTTTTAAGAGTATTTTAAAAGGCATTTAGATCTGACTAATAAAGTTAGTAAATTCTTATGTCAAATCCAGGGCAAGAATAAAAACTTTCAGTTATAAAAGAAATAAGTCACGAAGATGTAATGTACAGCATAGGGACTATAGTCAATAATATTGTAATAATGTTGTATGGTGACAGATGATAACTAGACTTAGCGTGGTGATCATTTCATAATGTGTAAAAATGTAAAATCACTATGTTGTACACTTGAAACTAATATAATATTGTATGTCAATTATGCTGCAATAAAAAAGATCCAGGACAAGAAGATGTAGTATGAATAAGACTTGCTTTCCTCCTAACAATAGCACCAGCTGAACAAAGTTCAAATGAAAAGAGGGCAGTATACATTTTATATATTACTGAAAACACCACCACCAGAAATATTGAGTCACTTCTAAGAGACGAAATGTCACTAAAGCCAGTTTAAAACTTGGCTGGGAATATAACATATCAAAAAGAGAAGTGTTTCAGAATTGGCCTGGAGGCATTTACGTCTTTGTAGTCCACAGGAAAAGTTATAAGGAGGGATTTTCTGACCCAGTGACAACAGTCTGAACTTGGCAAGTGGGAGTCTGTACCGTTGAAGTGGTGCTGCTTTTCATGTGTTGAAAAAAAATCAAGTTCCTAACGCTAGCTTTATCGAAATGCCGCCAAGTCAAATGCCAGATATTAAGATCTTGTTTTCAGTCAGCCAGTGAGGCTCCGCTTGTGACATTTTTACAGGGGAAGGGGAAGTATTTGATAAACTGCAATTTGTGAGTGCTCAGATAATATTAGGTCTTATTAGTGTGTGCAAAGGCTGGGACTGTGAGGTAGTCGGTAATTCAAGGATGAATAGGAAACTTCTTGCCCCCGAATTGTTTATAGCTGGAAACCAGAAGGTAAGAAAGCATCTGCAAACCAATCTTGGTAATTATGGATGTATAGAGGAGAAGGGACTGTCTCTTTCTGCCCAGGTTAAGGGAGGGATGGGTCAGGGCAAGATATGCAGAGAAGGTGCTGGGCTGAGCTTTGAAGGATAAGTAAGAATTTGTCCAGGGGAAAGGAATGGTGTTCTAGGCAGGGCATTGAGGCTGAGAGAACAGTGCATTTGGGACCTGAAGGTAGATTAATATAATGGTAGCCCAAGAAACCAGAAATAATGGCAACAAATAAAGCCAAAATGGTAGCCCGGGGCTCTTCATAAATGATCTCATTCTAAGTTATAAGGTTTGGACCTTGAGTCATGGCTTTGGGCCACTGAAAGATTACATAATGAAAGATTTACATAATGAAGATAAGACTGAAGGTGGATATTTGAGTGGGGGAGAAGAGGATGCAGGGAAGGGTAGATGGGGGAACAAGACAATATGAAGAAATGGTCAACAATTTGTGGGATCCTTTGAGGTGCCGTTTGAGGTGCCTGTGAAACTTCAGGTGAAGATACTTGACTTAGCCTTTTTTTTTTTTTGTGAGGAAGATCAGCCCTGAGCTAACATCCATGCTAATCATCCTCTTTTTGCTGAGTAAGACCGCCTCTGAGCTACCATCTATTGCCAATCCTCCGCCTTTTTTGTCCCCAAAGCCCCAGTAGATAGTTGTATGTCATAGTTGCACATCCTTCTAGTTGCTGTATGTGGGACGTGGCCTCAGCATGGCCGGAGAAGCGGTGTGTTGGTGTGCGCCCGGGATCTGAACCTGGGCAGCCAGTATCGGAACGCCGGGCACTTAACCGCTAAGCTACGGGGCCGGCCCTTGACTTAGCCTTTCTAAATCTGCTTCCTCTTCTGAGAAACAAGGAATTTAAATATCTTCATGCAGAATTGTCTTAAAAATAAAAAATATAATCACTGGGAACCTAGTATAGAGGATGGCTTTTAAGCAGCAGATGGGGAAGGAGAATTTCTGAAAGTGATTGAGTAGCATCACTGGGAGACTGGCAGATAACGATGAACAACAATACAAATCTCAAAACTTAGTCAAAGAGGACCTAAAAGTGTTGAATTTTGAGTTGAGATTAGTGGTAATTTTAGCAAGAGTACTTTCACTGGAAGTTTGGGGCCTGACGCCAGATTGCCATGGATTAGGGAGTGAACGTGCAGTGAAGAAGTGTTAACTATTCTTTTACAAAAGCTTAGTTTTAAAAGATTCTGTGTGTATTATTATTTTTTTTTTTTGGAACTTGTGCCATCCGTCTTGAAGCTTCATATTCCAGGTAGTACTTGTAGTCATTTTCAGTTGTTTTGGATATATGTACAGTTTTGAAAGTGTATCTCCATGCCTTCTCTAGGTACTTCATGCCAGGTTTGAAGGCAATTTAATTTCTTGGCAATAATTTTTTATTCTACATTAAGTTGATATTTTGATGAAAATTATGAGTAAAGTAGGTTTTCTTAAAAAGGAAGCCCAGCTTAATGTTGAGAGTTGGAATAGAGATGCAGAATTTAGGCCAGAGATAGTATGTGTTTATTTTTTATTATGGAGTTTTCAAACATTCACAAAAGTAGAACTCCCAAGTCCAGATCACCCAGCTTCAACAGTTAAGATGTTGGTAATCTTGTTTCATCTACTCCTGCCCCGCTACCACCACGCCCCCCCCCCTTTTTTTTTTTTTTACCTGGACTTAGTTTAAATTACAGAGCTTTTGTGTTTCTATCTATAAATACTTGAGTATACATCTCAGAACTCATTTTAAATAAAACAATATAACCACTTGTAATATCACACCTGACAAAATTGACAGTAATTAAGAAGAGGAATTCATCAAATTCCCAGAGGGGTGCATGATACAGAAAAGGTGACAAAGCACTGCAAGTCTTGCCACTTAATATTGTGCATGGGCCTCTCACTTCTTTGCAAACTCTGATTCTTGACCCCCCCCCCCCCGCCCCGCCGACTTCCTTAGCTGTGGTAGGCATCTACAAATTAAGATTACTTGGAATTAAAGCTGATTCTACCCTAACCAAAAATGATGCCTACTTTTTTATCAATGTAGATTAATTTTAGTGTATCTTACCCTTCTCTGTGTAGCATTTTATCTTCGTATATTGGGTTCTCACTCTTCTTTCACTTATTATTGGGCAAAAAAAAAAATCTTTTTTTTTTTTTGCATATGGAAATGTCAAGTAGTCAGAGGAGGCTGCCCTGTAATCAGTGGACGGGTAAGATGAAAACTCTCTTGTAATAGTGGAGAGATTGTTTTCTGCTACAGCCTAGAGATGCGATTTTTTGGTCAGTTTATCATTTCTTCTGTTAACTGATTTCTCAAAAAATTTTCCCAAATCAGAATAAATGCTATACTAAAGACAGGGTTTCATAAACATTTTTTCCCCTATAGGTAAGATTCCATCTTCTTTTTTAAAACTTTTTCTTAATGTGCTTCAGTGAAAAGGATGATTTTATCGTAAGGAAGAGGATTCTAGATGGGCATGGAACATGTTTTTATTTTTCATTTTGAAATAATTATAGCATCACAGGAAGTTGCAAAGATAAGATACAGAGGGCCTGTGTACTCTCCACCCATTTTCCCCCAATGGTTACATCTTAACCATAGTACATTATCAAAACCAGAAATTTTACATTGGTACAATGTGTGTGTGTAGTTTTGACATTTTATCATTTGTATAGATTCAGATAACCATCACCACAATGAAGATACAGAACTATACCATCACCACAAATATCCATCTCCACCCTACTTCTTTATATTCATACCACTCCCCCCCATCCCTAACCCATAGCAACCACTAATTTGTTCTCAATATCTATAATTTTGTTATTTTGCAAAGGTTATATAAATGGACTTATAAAATATATCATATTTTGAGATTGGCCTTTTTTTACTCAGCATAATGCCCCTGAAATCCATCCAAGTTGTGTCAGTAGTTCACTCTGAATATGTTTTGAAAGTAAAAATAAGTACCCTGTTAACTCACTATGCCAAAACTCAGTCCACCCAAAACTGCCAACCTCAAGTTTAAAAAAGCCTGTGAATTTTTGTGGATATAGGTTTAAAGATTTTATTTTTTATTTATTTTTTCCCCCCAAAGCCGCAGTAGATAGTTGTATGTCATAGGTGCACGTCCTTCTAGTTGCTGTTCGTGGGACGCTGCCTCAGCATGGCCGGAGAAGCGATGCGTAGGTGCGCGCCCGGGATCTGAACCTGGGCCGCCAGCGGCGGAGTGCGCGCACTTAACCACTAAGCCACGGGGCCGGCCCATGTGGGTATAGGTTTAAAAAGGCCTATAAATTTTGTGGGCATTTTACAATGTAAATATACTATAATTAACCATTATATAATTATTATATTATAATTAACCATTATACAATTATTAATATAATATATAGACATAATTATAATATACTTACACTGTAAAATTACCAGTAAAACACAGTCTTAAAGTAGATTATATGTTTGAATTAAATATACAAAGCTTATAGACATTGTTTACAAAGCTTAAAAATAGTGTAAGACCAGTGTTCATTGTAAGTTCATTGTATAGCGTTTTTCATTTAAATAGGCAAAATTTGGGTGAGCCATTCTTTTTGCTTTCTTTGAAATAATTTCAACTTAGAGAAAATTACAGGAATGGTACAGGGAACTCTTGTATGCCTCATTTACTAACTTTTAGCATTTTGCCACATTATCATTATTCATTCCCTCCCATCTGTCTGTCAATCTGTATATACACACATACACATACACATATATAGATATATAAAATTTATTTTTTTGGAACTGTTTGGACTTAGGTTGCATATATCATGACGCTTGACCTTTAAATATGTCAGTATGTAATTCCACAGAACAAGGATATTCTTTTACATATTTCACAGCATAGTTAACAAATTCAGGAAATTTAACATTGATGGAATATTCTTGTTTAATATAGTTCATATTCGAGTTTTATCAATTATTTTCTTTTTTCATATTTTCCTCCTTCTGTACAGAATCCAGTTCAGGGATGGATGTTAGTTGTCTTTTCTCGTTAATTTTCTCTAATCTGGAACAGTTCTTCAGCCTTTGTCTTTTATGACATTAACATTTTTAGAGAATACAGGCCATTTATTTTATAGACTGTTGCTCATGATGGTTTCCCATGATTAGATTCAGGTTATACGTCCCTGGCTGGAATACTGCAGAAGTGATATTCTGTCCATCTCAGGGAGTTAAATCTGAGAATACACATTGTCCATCAGTATCTCATTAGTGATGTTAATTTTGATCACCCAGTGAAGATACTGTTCAATTTCTCCATTATATGGTTACTATCTTTACCATTACAAGTAATAAGCAATCTGTGGGCAGACACTTTGAGACCATGCAAATATCCTGCTCCATCAAATTTCGACCTGTAGATTTAGGGATGGTTCTTAATGATTCTTGCCCAAACTAATCTGTTTTGAGGGTTCAGAGTAAGTGAGAGTCAACCTTTCTAAATTACCTTGTCCTGAAAATTCCGTTTTATTTTGGAAACATTTATTTACATATTTATTTTAAGACTTTGATTTGTATGCATTGCATGTCATCATTGCTAGTGCATTTTAACTTAAAAAAAATGTTTTTTAGACCTCTTGGTTTATTTTTAATCCTTTGCTGCCCTCTGCAGGTCTATGAATATAAATCTTTGGAGCAAGGTAAGTAATCCTAATATTGGAAATCATAAGGTCATGTATAAAAAGCTATTAAGAGCAAAAGTTATAATAGCTTCACACATTTATGATGTATTATTGTAAGTTAATGAATTGAGAATCTTGAAGTTGGTAGTTTTAAAACTGCCTTCCTTGGAGCATGAAATTTATCATTGAAACTATCCTTGACTTAGTCCTAAATTCTTCATAAGGTTTTCAACTTTTCCAAAGGACAGTTGTTAATATTTTTGCATTGACATTTGGCCATACAGATTTAATAATTAAATTTTTAAACTATGTACGTGTGTATGTGTTTGTGTGTGTCCTTATATGAATGTATAGATTTTAATACAGTTTTAAATTGCTATCTTTTTAAGAAGTTAACTGTTTTTATACAGGAAGTACAGTTATCCTTATGCTAAATTGTAAGGAATATTTGTAGTTTAATAAAATCAGAATACACAATGATTGGAATTCCTAATTTAAATATTTTAAAATCTAAATTACATTCAATTCTTTGTTTAGTATTACTTATATTGCCTTGAAACTATATAGTCAATTATAATATATGGTTGGGATATTTATATTTAGAAGTAATTTTTTGACTAGAAACATTTTCCATTGATTTATTCATTAAATGCGTCTTTGTTCAAAATTTGGTATTAAATGTGGTTGTCTGATATTTAATGTACAGCTACAACTTCTGGTAGAATTTATTGTCTATCTTCTGCACGTATTTGTGTTGGTTAAAAAATAGTCTGTAAATGAGGATTGTTTTTTAGCAGTTTCTACCTTAACTATCCTTTGAATTGCCATTAACTGCAGCATGATTTTCATGGTGGCGTTAAGTGGGATATGGTCAATCTTGCCTAATTTTCCGTATTAGCAAATAAATAGTAGTAGAAGTAACTGCAGTTCGAGTTGTTCACACTTAGAATATGTGCTAGGCACTATTTTAAGAGCAAATAAGTTCACTTGTAAAAAACAGTAGTTCAGAATTCCTAACTCATATCACTTTGGAAAACAGCTATATGTTTCTGTTCTTAGTGTCTTCAGCCCAAGGATATATAGTCAAATACTGTGTTCAAAAGTTACAAGACAATACTATAGGTTTTGTATTGATTTTCATCATAAAAATACATGTTTAGATTTTTTTAATTAAAATTTTGCTGGCAGAATTAATGTTGAAGTATTGCGTATGTCTTTTAGTGTTTGTGTAGTCAGTTGATAAGAATCTGAGAACAAACACGTTAGAACTTTTGATCCCTTTTGTTTTAATGTCATTAAAATGACTGGAAAAATATCATTGAAAACCTAAAAAATTAAGTTATTTAGTGGTTCAGGATATTTTACTTTATTATTTCTGTAATACTTCATTTACAAGGAGGAAACTGGTCCAATTTCAACAAGACCAAAAACAATATGATAAGAAATAATATTGGTTGATAATTCCTATAAGCTATTTCCTATCTATAACATTCATTTAAAATGATATATAAACAAATCAGTGTAGAGGCTTTCTTAGTGACATTTCATAAAACATTGCAGTTATCCGTCAACATGGGTTTGTTTTGTTTTTGTTTTTAAAAGACAAACCTATTATTTAAAAACGAAACAATCTCCTTGGCAGGTGGGGGTGGTGTTGAATTACTGTGATATAGAATAATACCTTACTGGGGAGAGGCTTTATTGTTTCAAGAATTCAATTTCAGACTGTATTTGTTCTTGTTTGCTTCTCTTGCTGCAATGCACGCATTTTCTGTCTTACCAGATAACAGAACTGTTGTATAAGAATGGACGTTATTGCCAGGAGCCTCCAGGACCAACGGGTAGCGTTTCAATTTCGATGATTGTAACTTATCCGCAAATCCATTCTGTGTAATGATGGGCTAGAAGGATTACAGGAGTAAACATTTTCTTTATGAAAGTGAAATTTGAAAACATTTGGTTATAAATCTTTATATTGATAACCACAGCATTTTGAGATCTGTGAGGTGTTTGGTTTTATCATAATTATTTCTTTAAAGACAGAGTTGGGAGGCTTTTTCTTTTCAGATATTGAGGAAATGCTTCTTATAGCACCTATGGAAATAGGCTTAAAAATGAGTAATCCTTAGTGTTTAAGTAATTTGAATGTTTTGCAGGTGAGTTAATTTTTAAACATATAAAATAGTAAAGAGATCTTGTAGGATTGTTTTCCATTTAAATGTAATTTATTACCCCAAATACATTATTTTGACATTTAATAATTTTTGTTTTTCATATAATGAGGCCTAGAATATATGGTTTTCTGTAAGAAGATACTCTTCTTGAAAGTTCAAAATTTCTATCCTAGGTATTAACACATGGCCCTATACATTTTATGCTTGAATGCATAGGAAAATTACTGTTGTTACAAAACATCTTTGTTAATCTTGGTTTTTCATTGGCTAATAGGCAGCTCTCTGCAGGATTACTGTGTCTGCTTATTAAAATTATTTAACTTTCTATACTCAACATTTAATAATCCTTTCTAATTTTATGTGTTTCCCTAAATATTGCCCACAAAAAAAATTAGTATAGAAATGTGTACAGGCATTTATTTATTCTCACTACTTGTGATTTGGACAGGAAAGGGGTAGGGCCTTGGGCAGGACCACTTCTGTCACAGAGTAGTGGAAAAAAATAGATTGAAGTAAGATTTGGTACTGAAAAGCTGTCACTCGGTCTGAAAATAATTAATATTCCTTTCACTCACCAGTTAGATATGTGCTCCCAAACCACATAATCTCTATGCCTCAGTGATCATTGTTGCCATTTCAGAGCCTCTCATCAGGGTGACATCTCACACCAAAATGATTTCTTATAAATTAATCTTGATAACATGACAGTCTCAGTAATTTTAGTGGAATGCTTTCTCTTGTTTTTTTCCACAGAAGCTGTTGGCTATTTTCTTTATAACTTGATTGACAGCATGAGTGACTCAGAGGTACAGGCCAAGGAGGAGCGTTTGAGACAATACTTCCATCAGCTGAAGGAGATGGTACCATTTCATTTTTTGCTATATAATGCCTGTCCTGGCTGACATGTATCTATTAGATTTGAAATTGCTGCTTTTTAAGTACAACCAGACCACTCCTCAGTGACATACACGAGTTGGAGACTTAAATTATGTCTGAGATAATTTCTGTTAGACAAATTTCGGTTTGGTTGTCTAAAACTCAGAGTTTTTTTCCTCCCTTTCTTTTGCACAGAATGTAAAAATTCCTGAAAATATCTACAGAGGCATTCGTAATCTGCTGGATAGCTACCATGTTCCTGAGTTGATTAAGGTGTGTTTGAAATAATAATCAATGCTTAATTTATATATAAAAACGTGTTACAATTTTATTTAAATAGGAGCTTTTGACCAAAAACACGTTTATTTAAATGACAACCATTAAAACAAGGCTTTTCATTGATTGTTGGTAAATACTTTTTATTTATTGAAGAATGTGTTTAAAACATTTATTACAATAGTTAATAAAGTATGAACAGAATTTCTGGAAAATTTTGGAAAGATGGAAAAATAGCAGTAAAATGACATGAGACTTCCAAAATTTGCTTTTGACATTTGCTAATATATTTTTCCACGTGTTTTCTAATTCTAATTTAAATCTTAATTTTAGGATGTTAACATATTGGTCGAAAGAGAGAAGATCGACTCTCGAAAAGTAAGTAGATTTTTTGGGTAGCTTCTACATGCTATAATAACTACATTTAATGAGGATTCTAAAGTGTGTCCTTATAAAACCAGTGGTTCCTAATATTTTTGCCATGGTACACCTCTAAGAAGTTGGTAAAAGCTATTCCCCATCTCAGAAAAATCAACATATCAAAGAAATGTGCATACAATCTCAGGAGCTTCATAAACTCCTGGAGTCCATCCACGGATCCCCAGATTAATATCCTTGATAGCATTTATGACATTTAGGAAAGGTCAGTTTAAAGGGAAGAGTGACAAGGGGTACATTTTCTTTCTGTAGTAAATTTCTTTTCTTTTTTCTTTCCATTTCTGTAGACTACGCAGCTTACATCATCGGATTTGGAGTCCACACTTGAAAAACTGAAAGCTGAAAATCAACCTGTAGGAGATGTCCTAAAGCAACTCATCTTAATGCTTTGTTCAGAAGAGGTAACATTCGTTTAAATATTTAAAATATGCTATTAAGGTAAAAAATTCTTTATAGTTAAAAGTAAGCAAAGCCAAATATAATATTTGTAATTTTTACAAATGATTATTTTACATCATGGCTGTGAAGAATGCAATTAAATGAAAGGTTAACTAATTTCAGGTACACCTTGAATGGCATGTTTTCTGGTTGCTGTAGTTTGTTTACGATAATCTGCAAAGTGAATGATAGTAACAGCCGTGATAGGTTTATCATACATGCCAAATGTCCTTTCAAGCCATGGCTCCGGTCTCTTATATCTAGATTGTCAAGCAACTGATACATGCAGTAGTCATTTGCAAGTCAAATATTACTAGGTTGTTAATGCAGGGATTGAAATTCCATTTTCCTGCTGGAAAAAAGCCCTTTCTGAGATAAAGGGTCTCTTGCCTTTTTTCAGCAGGCATCCAGCTGTACTTTGTGTTCATTTTAGTGTGTGCCTGCAATTTGTGGTATATCACTAGACTTTTTCAGTTTCTGGTTCAATATGATTTGTTCGTATGCCTGTATTTTTAGGGGGAAAAATATAATTGACTTTAAGATTATAACATGGTACTACTGTTAAATTCTAAAATATTTCTTCACATTACTTGGATATTAAACTAGACTGTGAGGAACTTTGCAATGATATATATTTCTGTGCATGGAAATTGGATTATGAGTAGGAGCTGACTTGGTACATATTTAATCTAGAAGTCTTTTTTATAATACAATACCAAAGCTAAAACATCAAATTTGGCATGGTGGACTGTTTTGCATTACAGGTAACAAATCTTTTAAACCCTACATGTGTCTCTTGCCTGTTTTTTAAAAGGTGAATAAAAATAGCAGCAAGGTAAAGTTAATAATAACATGAATCCATTTATTTTTAAAGTACTATTAACTTTTTCTACACTCTGAGCATTAAAACCAGAAATTTTACATTTTCTTTTATATTCATTTCTTTTTTCTTTTTCATTTCTATCCCTTATTTTAGAACATGCAAAAAGCTCTTGAATTGAAAGCAAAATATGAATCAGACATGGCTGTCGGTGGCTATGCAGCTTTAATAAATTTGTGCTGTCGACATGATAATGCAGAAGATGCATTGAACCTGAAACAAGAATTGTGAGTACCTTGGCACTGAAACAAATCATCAGCATTTATGCTGATATACAGCCCTTGATGGATCACGTAGATTGAATATTACTCTCTTATATAATGTAATTTTTAAAAGTTCTTTTTTGTCAGTGTTTTTGAAATTTCATAGTATGAGACTGGTTGGTTAATTATGGCCTGTTTTCAGCAAGGAGTCTTTGTTTAAGTATAAGACATTCTATTCCTTAAAGCCAAGGTTTTTTTCCCACTGATTATACCACTGCATATCACAACAGTAATGATGGTAACTATTTTATACAGCTTGTTACACATTCCCCTTTCTATACTATAGTGTAAACAAAATTTTGTCCATTTCTCAAGTATCTTTGGTTTCCCAGTCCTGTTAGATTTATCAAATAAAAATATGTCTTTTGGGTATTTCAATGTTCCTGACAAAGTTAGAATCACCTAAACTGCATGAGGCGTAAGAGTTCCTTCATTAGGATCATTTGCAGATGGTGTGATGCAATATATATGTAGTGTTAGACTTTTACTTCTTATGTCACTTTTAATATAATTACATGTGAGTTTATATATGGCTTCAAAAATAAACCTTAACTGAAGCCAATGTTAATAACAACTCAGACAGTCTGATGAGTTTTTGAAAAATGATAAGATGGATATTGCAGTCCTTTTCATAGTTCATCAGCTTTGAACCTAACGTAAATGTGGTTTTAATTTTTAGTGACCGTTTAGATTCATCTGCTGTCCTTGACACCAACAAGTATGTAGGCCTTGTAAAAGTATTGGGAAAACATGGCAAGCTCCAAGGTAAGCCTCAACACGTAAAGGAAATATATGATGCAAGTATCTTGCCACTGGAATAACATGTGAATTGATGTTAATGGTATATCATGTCCTGCAAAGTGCTTGAACACTTTGCATACAAATTTGCATGTGAATCCAACCAGAGCTGCTTGGACAGTGTAGGCCATTAGTTTTAATGGATTGGCAAGCTTGTCATTTACATTTGCACAGCTCACTGCTTTTTGCATTTCTGTAGCTAGTTTTTATTAGCATTGCTGTTTGGATTGAGCTTGAAGATCATGACTTATGGCACAATTTGCTTATATGCCTGCACTAATGGCTTTGTTTTTGCTTAAGAATGTCTGAAGGCTGAACATAAAACCTATAAACATAACCTTATTTAAGAACATGAATTTTGCAGTAGTCTTTGTCTTAACTTTTAATAACATTAACAAAATGTATACTTTAATAAGTGTTTATTTAGAAGTTTGCAGGAAAAGCCTAGCTGATTATATAGCTGATGTGCATACTTGTATTTTCTCATTGTTGAGGTAATGGTGAGCCTAATATAATTAATTACACTTGATAATATAGTCTTACTATTTGCTTGTTTCTTAACTTTCTCATTGTGCTTTATTTTGAAACTTCTTTTTAGCCTTCCTCTCTTCCTTTTATTCCTAGAGAAGATTTTTAAAAAATTTTTACAGTGAAAAATGTATAGAGAAAATATTTGATTTGAACATTGAATTTTTTGCTAGGAAGCCTTTCTAACACAGAAAACTCTTTTTAAGGATTAGCTTGCCTTTTTAAAATCACTTTTTGTAAAGCGGTCAAAACATTTTGTCTGTGCAATAATTATGAACAACATTATAAAAATGCACTTTTTCCATATCCTAAAATGTTTGTTTCTGCCTTCCTAATGAAGCTTAATGAATCTAATGTATTAACATGCAGTCTTTTGGAAAGCTTTCATTGGCTCTGCTTGGCTAATTAGTATCGACATAGCAAACAGGCCCTATCGGTATCAGACCATTAGTCTGGCTGTATATACAGTGTAAACACATCTTTATTATCTGGCCTCCTGACAAGCCATCTGCTGAAGAAACAATGGTGTGATTTAGCAGATGTTAGCTCTGAACGATAAAAGCATCCATTTAGTAGGATCTTACAGCTATAGGGCAGACCATACAGGGTTATGTGGTGCAGAGTGGGCACACAGTCCCTATCTATAATTTGTAGTCAAAGTTGCAGGGAAATGATAAAACCATGCTATTGTGGATTTATAATTGTAGTCTCGTTTAGAAATGCAAGTAGTAATTAACTTGAAATCGGCATTATACACTAGAATTTACATTCCTGCTGGGTTTGAAATGCTGTTTTAATAGCAGTTTGTTTTCCCTACATGAAATTACCTAAGGGTCTTTTGTGTTACTTCATTGTAGATGCTATTAACATTCTAAAGGAGATGAAAGAGAAGGATGTTCTTATCAAAGATGCAACAGTCTTGTCCTTTTTCCACATCCTAAATGGTGCAGCTTTAAGAGGTGAAACTGAAACAGTAAAACAGTTGCATGAAGCCATCGTGACTCTAGGGTTAGCGAAACCATCCACCACCATAAGTTCCCCATTGGTCACTCTTTATTTGGAAAAGTAAGTTAATTGAATTTTGAATTTTAAATGTTGGCATAAAAGAATGAGAATAATCATTTGGGATTATACTTCATAAATACTCTGTGGTGCCGTGGAAGCCTTGGAGGTTATTTGCCACAGAATAAGAGGACTTATATGGACTAGGTGACCTTTAAAATCACCAGCAACCCTGTGGTCCTATGGATTACTTCTCAGTGGAATGGTCTGTGGTCATTTTTTTTGTGGGGAATGTGATGATATTACATGAAATGGAATCTAGTTTTTCCCATTGTTGAGCCTTGTAAGAGTTAATTATTAATAAATGTAAGAAAGAAGGATTCTGGGGCCGGCCCCGTGGCTTGGCGGTTGAGTGCGCGCGTTCCGCTGTTGGCGGTCGGGGTTTGGATCCCGGGACCGCACTGATGCACCGCTGCTGAGGCCGCGTCCCACATACAGCAACTGGAAGGATGTGCAGCTATGACAGACAACTATCTACTGGGGCTTTGGGGGAAAAATAAATAAATAAATAAAATCTTTAAAAAAAAAAAAAAAAAGAAGGATTCTCTGGGGCTTTTGATGATGCATCATGACTGTTATTCAGGTAATAATGTAGCAGCATCTCTTCAGTGCTCCTTTCTCCATATGGTGTTTTATTTTAATTGCGTGTACCAATACAGTTATGCTAGCTTTGCTAAATATTGTAGAAGATGTCTCTGTGCCTTGTGGGAAGAAGATGAATTTTGTTGGTAGGGAAAGATTTACGGAGTTTGAAAATTTTTGCTTTTGGAATGCTCATGTTGGTGCCGAATTAAAGGTATTATTTGCGATGCAAATCATAAAATCAACCTACCCTCTTGTAATGAGTGAAACATTTTAGTAAGATGATTAAGCACACTTTATTATCTTTTCCTTTTGCATTTGTTTTTCTTTTCTGTTTTTTTTGTTTTGTTTTTAATTTCTTAGATCTTACTTCTTTGTCATCTTTTCCATGGCTTAATGCAGTTTTTAATCTGCATATTTTGTGATCGGGATTTTCTGATTTCAGTGTGGATGTTGCCCTATCAATGCCAGGAGAAAAAATAAAAGATATATCTTAACGCTTCTCAGATTCTTCCCAAATTTCTGGTAGTTTTTCTTTACTTATTAGGGAGTATAGTTAATTGAATATAATGAATGGTTTAGTGTTGAATTTAAAAGGGAGAATAAAAAACCTCTCTTTTAACTAGTTCTGTGTTAAAAAATGTGTATACATAAATATGCACACACACATATACATATTTTATGACATAATTCCTTTGCCATTCAATCAAAAAGCAGTTTGATGATTGGCCAAATCTTAACCTCCACAATCTCAGCATTACATCCTTTTAAAGAAATTGTGATTCAAACAATTACTGTGTTACTGAGTTCTCATGTTCACAGCCAACTTTATATAGAAATCCTATAATTAATATGCTTCCTACTAGAATTTTTTTGATTGTTTGAAAGACCCATCTCTGCAAATTGTATGTGGAGCTCTCTGCATAGGGATTTGAAAGAAATGGGCCTGGTGCCCAGAAGAATTAGGCCCTCCTCCACTACTGGGCAAAAAATAAAATAATTAACAATGAAAACGAGGCCATGATAGAAAAGTATCTTACACATAGAAATACTGTGAAGAAAGAGGAGAGAAAAGTTTTCTGAAAGAGGTCTGCAGATGGGGCTCATGAACCAAGGAGAGCTTACCCAAGGGAAAAGGGAAATAGCATGGGATTCAGATGTTAACCTGGAGCATGCTCTGTGCTTCTGATTATACAGTATAGTCAGAGATTTGTATGTCTCTGTAAAATTTGGCTGTCCCTGTTAATTGGGCTACAGAAATCTAAATTAGTATCTTTTCTTTTATGATTTCTATGTACTTTCAGATACATAGAGAAATTATTACCTTCTATTTTTATTTGCCTAGGTTTTTTTTTTTTTTGGCTATCTTTGCCTTGCAGAGGTGGTCTCCATGACAAGATCTTTCAGTTTCATCTATCATAATAAGGTTTGTTGACTGTTTTAGAGTCATGAGAATAATAAAAAGGAGATAAAGGCAATTTCATGTTTATAAAATTGCAGAAGACAGTAGTAGCACTCCTAGTCAGGGATAAGTTGGAGGAAAAAATTGACTTTGAAACATTTTTTCAATTGTATTTTCCCCAACTGATGGAAAATAACTAATTCAGAATCATGACAAGTGCAGTACTAGGATTAACTACGCTAGCCTGCCGTAAAGTCCACATGTATTTGATTTGATTAAATATATTTAATCTTCAGTAACATCATGTAGTTGACCTCAGCAGGTATGAGCTCATCTGGAGAATGAGCCTTATTTATTCAAACTTGAGATAAAATTATGAAAAACGTTTCAGAACCTGGTACAAAATCTTCATCCTTTCGTTCAAAGACGAGCATTTTTTTGGAATGTCATTGCAAAGACTCTGAAGAGGCTAACACATATTGTAGTTCTGGAACAAATCCATGAAGTTGAATTCCTTAGAAAGATGATCTTTCAGATTCAGTAGATCTTAATTTTGAACTGACTTTTCCAGCATTGGATAAAACACAGGAGAAATTAATACTTTGTCAGTTTGTTACTTGGATAGGGTATAAAAAGCTTTATGAGTATGGAAAATAATACATTTTGTTTTTATTCATTTGCCAAGGGAAATCCAAAACAACAACAAATTAGCAAAATTATTAAAAAGTTGGTAAACTAATCTGCTTTTGTATTAACAAAATGATAATACTTGAACAGAAAAATGCAGAGTTGAACAAAATTTTCATGTTCCATAAGCCACATGCCTACATGTAGTCCAAATGAATGTTATTTTAAACATTTTCTTTTGTAACTACTTTTTAAAAAAAAAAAATGTTTTTTTTTAATTGAAATCATGCCTGATTCTGGAAGATGATCCTCCATATTAAGGAAGAAAGAAACGCTTTAAAATAGGTTAAAAGAGCTTTTGATTAGTCTTTATACAATGGTAAAGGAAATGAAATTAATAAAATCTGGGTCATTAGCTTTAAAAGCATAAAAATTTGCATGATGCCGTTTCAGATTCACTTGTTTTCTAGCTGTTCCATTTTGGTTTCGTTGCATATGAAAAATATCTGAAGCTGTTTAACTGGATTATTTAGTGCAAATGACCAAAAAGGCTTTAATTTCTGCTTTCCATTAAGGATTTTTCTGTGCTGATTTGTGCTATAATCTGTATATGCCCACATGCATTTCATTTAAGTGAATCGTGGACTTTGTATATATAATCCTTCCAGAACTCCTGTTAAGTTAATCTTGAGTTCTTCATAAAGTTCACGATTTCTGTAAGATGAACCTAAAGTTTATAAACTCACTGTAACCCTTTAATATGTTATATAAATGGGAAATACACTATTTAAAAAGCTGGTTATTCTGTCATATACACTTCCCTTCAATTTTAGCATCTTCATTTGTACTGGATACTTTTATTATTTATGGGAATGCTTGCTTTCTAGAGTAAAACTCTTTATGTGCTGAAAGGAAATTAAGGAGGTTTGACTCCTTTTACTCCATTATTGCAATTAAGAATTTAGCATCATCAGAGCCAAAGGACAAAAGTAGTTCATTTGCCCTAGGGGGACAGGACAGTGATAAGATGATTTTTCTTCAAGGATCATTGGGTCGTAATTAAGTTACATTCATGGCTATTGCTTTTTGAAGGATGATTGGTAAATGACAGGCTTCATGTGCTTAGTACGGACAGTGTTCAGTAGGATTTTTTCTCCTTCTGTCAGAAAATCCTGTTGAGCCTGATAATGTAAATGTGGCATTTTATTCTGAACAAAAGAGCAGGGAAATGAGCTATCTTGTCTAATCATTCAGTTGTTTAACACCGACTTCCAGTTTAAACTCAATTGGCTGGAAAGCACTTGACATGTGAAGTTAGTGCTGTTCGGAACGCGTGTTTGAGTAAATTTTAAAGTAAGTGACAGCTAAATTGTACCTAGGGAAATTACAAAGCCTTCAACACAGTTAATTTTTTGGGGAGGATTAGTTGTAATTGCAACACCAGTCTCCTTGAAGATTCCTCATTTATAGATGATGAACAGAAAAAAACATTTAGCTTTTTCAAGGGCTGGTTCTCTTAACAGAATAATTTTTGTGACGACGATGGTTTCTCCTGAATTGATTTCTCTTCACACTGAATATCTGCTGAAGATTTATAGAATAGTTTGTTTTTAGAGTGTTGAGGGGTTTTTTTTCCTCCGTTGTTTTAAACATTTTTTTTCCCCAAAGCTCCTCTTTTCTCTAGTGATTTCAGATTTTGAGACCTTTTCAGTCAGTAAGCCCTTTAGGTAAATTGCCACTTCACTAACACTTTGTGCATAATGTTTAAGTCCCTTATTGCAATTAAGAATCAATATTTGTCATTTTTGTTGTTTAAATTAAGTATACTCTCAGGATTGGAAAGTTACTATAAGTAAGGAGACTAAGTTTAAAGCTACTGGTAGGTGAATAGATAGTTGTCACTGGTGGGTCTTGTTCTAACCATTCAAGATCACATGAGACAAATTTGTGATTTTATAGTTGTATATAGTGAGGAATTTGAGTTAGGAGTACTTTGTTTCCTGGTACTTTTAGGTAGATACTTTTATGATCAGTGGATGCCTCATGAATGTATGTCCAATGTTTGTTTTTCTGTCAGTGATATTATAGCATACTTAAATTTCGTAAGAGGAACCCAAGACTAACATCAGATTTGCTATATGAGCTTCAAGCGTGCCTTTTTTGGATGTTCCTCCAAGTAATAATGCAAAATTACAGTTTGTAGTAGTTTTATATACAGTCATGTTCCCTTAAAAAGTGAATTAGAGATTCTAGAATGAATTTTAATATGGTCCAAGTGAGTCCATCCAAGTTAATAAATAAAGCTTTCTTTTAAGTGTTCAAATTGCTTACTGGACTCAGCCTATTATATGTAGGCGTATTCTTAAAATTCAGAATTATAGAATCTTCCTTTCTTCTGTTCTGCCTTTATTCATAGGCTCACAGAATTTTGGTAAAGCTTATATTAAGTTAATTTATATCAATCAAAATATTTTTTAGTGATTGCTTTTCTTAGCATATGTAGTTTTATTCATGAAAATTACGTTATGTATTTCATTGAAGTATTTTTTGGGGGGATCTAGTCATTGAAAATATCACAGTGGGTTTTTTTTTTTTTAGAGATAATAGTATGTTATAGAATTGATTTTTCTTTTAGTATTATTTGAGGTTTGTGAAAGCAGTGGCTAAATTTCTATCAGGAATGGACTTTTAAAAATTTGTTGTATATAAAGCTTTAGGAATTATGCATATATACTGAAATAAGCATGGAATCAAAGTTAGGAATCCAGAATTAATGTTACCAACAAGATTTCTTCAAAGGATTATTGTTATTTTAGAGTAAGGTTTTAAATCAGTTCTAGTGTTTTAAAGTGTACAAAGGAAATCACAGAATCATTTTAGGTCACAGAAACTAGAGGTACACTAATTGGTAAAATGTTGTCCCACATTTTGGGTATAAAGCACTTTCTACCTCTTACCTTTTGGTATTTACTGCTCTTACTGATTTTATCCTGCCTAATAAAAGTGGTATTTTCACATGATGATTTTCTCTGCTGGTGTGAAACATTTGAGTTGATGAACCTAATAAGCTCAAATTTGTAGCACCTCACATTAGAGTATTAGAACTGAGAGGGAACCCAAAGGTCCTTGAGTTCAGCCGTTGTGATAATCTGCTTTTCATCACCACTTTTAGAAACGTATCGTGTTGCTGCAGCCAAGCTGCATGTAGTACTTATCAATTGGAATTGAAATTCGAAAGTCCTATGAGTATACAACTATTTTCATAGCAGTGTGAATTTTAGGTACTTTTTCATTTCCATCACTCAAATTTTCAAGCTTTATTAGGAAAGATTAATGATGACATCCAATTATATGAGGAATGGACATTTTTATCTCTTTATTTTACAGTGATATGATCCAACCTCAAATCAGAATGTAGACAATAGGGATTAAAAAGAGCCAACTAGTCATCAGTTTATTTCTGTCAGTACACTTTGTACAAAATGTTTCATTATAGATTTCTAATTCATTTTTTTGGCAACCTGAGAGCAGTAGCATTGGTACTTAAAATTACTAACAAATATATAAATTATTTCCATTTTGCTATTCTTGTCTTTTCTGTTGTTGTTCTGAGCATGTATAATCTTCAGAAGTATATATTTGGAGACCAAAGACTATTAACGTGTCTCTTTGATTGACAGAACAATTATTCATTCATTTATTGATAGCTTTGACCTAATGTAGGGGAAATACAATTGAGACAATACTATTGTAGTTTGAGAATTGATCTGAAAAAGCAAATAATACTGCTTTAAGAAAACCAGTGTGTGTTAGTTTTTCTCTTAAAAATATTTTAGTAGTTTTCCATGAAATGGAATTGTAGAAAGGTAATAACTGAACGTGTGTCTGAAGCAAGAGAAAATACTGATTATGTAAAGCTTTATATCATATGTGGTAGCTACTATAGCATTTCTCTTGTATGACAGTAATCTAGCCTGCAACATCTACTTGTGATTTTGAAATTAACCTGTAATTTAGTCTTCACCCCAAATGACAAAAATTCAAATGACTCTGTGGGGTGCCAGAAGATGCACTGTAAACAGGGCTCAGTAAGGGGATAAGGTAGAGTTCTGTCAGGATAGGCTCGTTTTCACTGTGTCAGTGTTAGTGCAATGAAATTAACGCTTCTTCATGGTATTTTACTTTTTGGTACATCTTAAAATCTTAATCTAGATAAAATAGTAATTCAGTCTAGGGCAAAATAACATTTGTATAATGGACCAAAATGTTAGGGCTTCAGCAGAAAATAAAAAAAAGCTTCCTTCCTTTTGAAAACTGTTGCGTGTGAGAGAAATGTGTTTTCTCCACAAAGATTATCACTAACTGTCACTAGTTGTACTTTGCTGCATGTCTGTAGCCATGCCTCTTTTTTATACATTTCATACTTTTCAAAAATCTTTAATTTCTTATTCCAAATTGTAGCACCCCGTTAGGTTAAATAAACAACTGCTTTTCATAGAGCATGATGTATAATTAGATGTACTCAACTGAAAGTGGGAAGTCCAGGGACCGGATGACAGTCCCCTTCCTCTGTTTACCTAGTAGCCTTAGGCTCATCTGTCAGTCTCTACATGCCTTAATTTCCTCATCTAGTTAAAAATAAAGGAGATGGCAAGTAGAATTGGATCACATAATCTCTGTAGCTTTTCCAAGGTCTTACATATTTCTCATACTGTCATTTTCCTTTTAAAGGAAAAAGTAGTTTTTGAGGACCCACAAGAATGTATATTTTCACACTCTTGTTTAAGAAACTCTGACTTAATGAAAATATCTTTTTATTTTAATTTATTATCACATAAGAAAGAGAAACCTTGACTTTATAATTGGCAATAATTTTTAAAAGTTTACCGTCTAATGAAAAACTTACTCAGAGTTCTCCTAAAATTCACTAACCATAAGAAGATCCTGGTTTTAGTAACAATAAGTTTCTGTATATATATATCCTGAAGTTATTTCCTCCTTACCTGGAGAGGAGGCAGTATAAAAAATATGATAAAGTTGAAAGTGCTTGAAAATTCCTTGATAGCTATTGATGGACATTTAATAAAGTTTTCCAAATCTGGAATTATTGAGGACAACACATCAGTAGTTGGAAGAAATATTTGATAGTAGTCCTTGTTTTAAGAAATAATGCATTCTTAGTGGCAATTTATGATATAAAATTGGATTTTATTTATAATAATCTCAAAGAATGCCTTCCTCTATTTGGACTTAAAAAAAGTGCCGTGTAGCCATCGAAATAATAAAAGATGAAGCAGGGAAAATGGAACTGCTAATGATGTCTGTACTCTGGACTTTTTTTTGTGTATATAAGGATTGTTTCTCTTACTTTTTTTTTTCCATTTTGGCTTCGTGGTTTTTTACCTTAAATAAAGCTCAGTTGTGTACATTTTGACTGGTCATTGTATATCTCTCTAAATTAGATATATTTTATTCATTGTTAATATTTTGATTGTTTCCAAGGGATGACGTACCTGCTGCTCTTGAAGTTGCCATTGACTGCCATAAGAAGTATAAAATATTACCAAGGATTCATGATGTCTTGTGTAAGCTGATAGAGAAAGGCGAGACTGATCTAATTCAGAAAGGTTAGTCACCTTCTAATATCTTGGTGTAGCTGTTTTGTTTTGTTTTTCCCCTTTTGCTTATTTAATCTTACTGCATTGCTGTGAAGAGAAGATTGAACAGGAGTGCAAGCACATCCAGAGAAGCTTTGTTACACTTTTAAATTGCAAAGAAAAATATCAAGTACATTTTCAGTATTATAAATGTCCTTGATATTAATAAGTGTTCATTTTGAAACTCCCTATATTATTTTTTGCTCTACTTCTTGGTGATCTGCCTTTATGAGGATTTTTTACCCTTATCCTCACCAGTTCTCTTTGAAGCTAGTATTAGGTTCTTCATATCATAGATGTATGCTGTTAGATAAGGAATATGACAGAAAATTAGTTGATACAGCTATAATCTTTGTTATTCTAAATATTTATTTTAGAGTTTTCTTGTATTTGTCCAGAACTTCAAGTGATAATGTGTTTCTTTATATTTTTTCTTCTAATATATTTGCTTCTTTTCTCTCTAGCAATGGACTTTGTGAGCCAAGAACAAGGTGAAATGACAATGCTCTATGATCTCTTCTTTGCCTTTCTACAAACAGGAAATTACAAAGAGGCCAAGAAGATCATTGAGGTGTGATTTTTACCTACAGTATTCTAATTTTACAGCTATTTAGACTCTTAATTAGAATATGTTTAAAATTTTTAACCTTTAATTACACTTGTTCTGATTCATGTTAATATAATTCAATCCCAATAATGGGGGGAAAAACTCAGCCAGTTCTTTATTGTATATAATTACAGTTCAGAAAATGCAGCCTGGTTGTATATTGAATTTGTTTCTTCACTTTGTTAAATTCACTGTTATATATCAAAATGATATTTGCATATTAAATCTTGGATTGTGGAACAATTAAATTAAACTGGCATTCCTGAGTATAAAGTTGCTAATCCTCTTTGCCAAGGAATTCTTTGTTCTTAAAAGCAGTGGAATTTAATTTGCTGCAGACCATGCTCAGATTTATTTGTAATGCTTGTCTACAAGTTAATCAGCCAAACAAGTGCTGTCTGCAACTGTTTGGCATTTAATTTAAAATTTCTTTCTCTTTTTTTTTTTTTTACTATGGTAAGCAGCTTATGGAAAATGGTAGGTGACAAACCTGGCCTATTTAGGATTAGTATATTTTATCTAGGCTTGATTGAAATTTTGCTTGCTGAAATTGATAAGTCAAAGGGCATCTGTAAAGTCTGTCCAAATTGTGATTAATTTTACTGTTAAATGATTCTGTGTCCACTAAAAAACAACAACAAAAAAAACATTCCACAGAACATGGACCCCTCGCTTTAAGAAAAATTATTTAATATAGTTAAAATAAATACATCAATAATCACATTCTCTCAGATCATACTTTGGCATCACTTCATGTCTTTTTCCAAAAGAGCCCGTGGTGGACAGGACACAAAGGTGGTGTTTGGCCTCGTTGTTTGTATATTGATGACTGCTTATCATGAAATTGAAGATGTAGGCATAGAACCCAGAAAATTATTACTTTCTCTTGATGTTTTTCAGAGAAGAGGAAAGTCTAGTGTGAAAAAGGAGAACTGTGAAACTAATTCAGAACTTTCTTCTCTTTCTGTCATATAACTCAATCTATCCTCCTGTCTAGAGGGCAGTGGGACTTGCTATCTTGGACAGGTGCTTCTGTAGCTCAGGTATTTCATTTGTGTTTTCTAGAAAGTGGTATAAATTCTTTCATTGAAAGTGCACGCTGTATTTGAAAATGAGGGGAGCTGTCTGCCTGTTGAGTTCTCCTGCTCTCTATGCATGGTAGCAGTATTAGCAGGGCACCGATCAGAGTAGAAATGAAGCTCACATTTTCAGATAGTAGCTGTGAGACGTTCTACACTAGGAAATCGTGTGCCTCTCTTTATGTAATAAGCAAAACGTAATAGGAAGAGCCAAGAGTGAGTTCTTTTTTTGCCGTCTGCTTGCTAGTGTGATAATGGACAAGTTACTAAACCTTTCTAAGCTTCCTCATCTATAAAAGGAAATATAATATCTTTCTTTAAGCTTCAATCACAGAATGTATGTAAAGCAGCTTACATGTTTTCTGGATTATGATAGTAATAATATTAATTCTCTTTGCCCCTTAAAGGTAGGGATTGTATTGTCTTCTTTACCTCACATAATTCACCATATGATGCTTAGCATAAGGTACATGCTTGTCACAAGAATAGGCAAGAGAAGGCTGCCTGTTAATTACTTTAAAGCTTTGCCAGTGTATGACATCATTGAGTGTAATCATTTAGAAATGACTGTATACTGATGACAGAATTTTCATACTAGATGTGTACAAATTGCTTAAAGGATAAAGAATAGCTTTACAGAACCCCTGCAGTACCCTAGGGTAGGACAGCAAGGTATGTAATATATGAGATTATACTGAAGCACATTTTCAGTTGTTTTTTTTTTTTTATGGTTAATTGAAGTTAAAGTGGGAATTTGCTTTTTTCACTATTAAAATTCAAGACCTGGAGTTCTCTCGTATATTTTTCTAAGGATTATTAAAAATATAAAAAGTAATGAAAATTAATAAACTGGGACTGTATCAGCATATGAAAGAATATTATAAATACTGTGCAACATTTTTATCATTCCCCAAAATGCAATAATGTCTTATCAGTGGGTAGATTCACTAGGGTTGAATTTCCAAAGAAAATATACAATGAAGCTTCTTTGTTTTTGAAGCACTGTGGGAAATAAGATAAACCAGTTATAAAGATGCTCACATTAAATGAAGAAAGAAGAGGCAAGATTCAGTGTATAATATGACCCATGTTGTTTTTAAAATGAGTTGGTGTACGTGTATCATGTATAATACATTTTAACATAGTCTTATATTTTATTTCTACACGTAGATTATTGCAAGAGGGTGGAATTATAGCTGTATTTTGCTTTATACTTTTCTATATTTTCTGAATTTTCTATAATAAGCGTAGGTATTCTTATATTCAGAAAAAGTGTTATTTTCTTCCCAAAAAAAGAGAGTAAGAGAGAAAAGTGAAATTAGACTTAAGAACAACCTTCAAGGAGCTAATGTGAAGCTCCTTGAACTTGAGATTAATGTGTGAAGATAACTGCTGTATAAGACTGAGAAGTGTTAACTGCTGTAAGAAAAGTACAAATAGTTCTGAGAGTTCGAGAATGGAACTTACTTCCAGTGTAGGAAATTAGGCAAGACTTTCTGGAGAAAATGGGGTATGAGGTGGGGCTTGATAGTTGTGGCAGTACTTTAACATTTGGGAGTTTGATGGGGTTGGGAAGTGTATTAGAGGTAGAGCAAAGAAGTAGAAAAGGGAAGTCTCTAAACAGTTCTTTTTTCCCCCCAACTTTATTGAGATATAATTGACATATAACATTGTATAAGTTTAAGGTGTACAAACTGTTGATTTGATATACTTATATATTGCAAAATGATTACCACAGTAGCATTAGTTAACACCTCTATCACCTCACATAATTACCATTTCTTTTTTTGTGGTGAGAACATTTATCTACTCTCTTAGCAATTTTCAAGTATATAAGAGTTTGTTAACTGTAATAATCATGCTGTACATTAGATCCCCAGAACCTGTTCATCTTATAACTGAAAGTTTGTACCCTTTGACCAACATCTCCCCATTTCCCCCACCCCGCAGCCCCTGGCAACCACCATTCTACTCTCTGTTCCTAGGAGTTCGGCTTTTTTAGATTCCACATGTAAGTGTTTTATCATATAGTATTTGTCTTTCTCTGTCCAACTCATTTCACTTAGCATAATGCCCTCAAGGTCCATCCATGTTGTTGTAAATGGCAGGATTTTTTTCTTTCTCATGGCCGAATAATAATTTCATTGTATGAGTATACCACACCTTCTTTATCCATTCATCCATAGGCAGACACTTGGGTTGTTTCCGTGTCTTGGCTACTGTGAATAATGCTGCAGTGAAAATGGGAGTACATATATCTCTTTGAGATCCTGATTTCATTTCCTTTGGATATATATCCAGAAGTGGGATTCCTGGATCATATGGTAGTTTTATTTTTAATCTTTTGAGGAACCACCATACTGTTTTCCATAGTGGCTGAACCAGTTTATCGTCCCACCAGCAGTACACAGAGTTTTCTTTTTTCCACATCCTCACCAACACTTATTTCTTGTCTTTTTGATGATAGCCATTCTAACAGGTATGAGGTGATTTGTGGTTTTGATTAGCATTTCCCAGAGCTGGTCATTTATATTATCATCTTTGGAAAAGTGTCTATTCATTTTTTAATTGGATTGTTTGTTTTTTGCTACTGAGTTGTATGAATTCCTCATATATTTTGGATGTTTACCACTTATCAGCTATATGACTTGCAAATATTTTCTTCCATTCTGTTGATTGCCCCCCCCCCTTTTTTTTTTGGTGAGAAAGATTAGCCGTGAACTAACATGCGTTGCCAATCCTCCTGTTTTTTGCTGAGGAAGATTGGTCCTGGGCTAACATCCGTGCCCGTCTTCCTGTACTTTATATGGGACACTGCCACAGCATGACTTGACAAGTGGTGCGTTGGTCCGAGCCAGGGATCTGAACCTGCGAACCCTGGGCTGCCAAAGCAGAGTACACGAACTTAACTGCTACGCCACGGGGCCGGCCCCTGTTGATTGCCTTTTAATTTTGTTGGTTGTTTCTTTTGCTGTGCAGAAGCTTTTTAGTATGATGTAGTCCCACTTGTTTATTTTTGCTTTTGTTGCTAGTGCTTTTGATGTCTTATCCAAAAAATCGTTGCCAAGGCCCACAGCAAGGAGCTTTTTCCCTGTGTTTTCTTCTAGGAGTTTTATGATTTCAAGTCTTACATTATAGTGTTTAATCCATTGGAAGTTAATTTTTGTGAGTGATGTAAGATAGGGGTCCGGTTTCATTCTTCTGCATGTGATTATCCAGTTTTCCCACCACCATTTATTAAAGAGACTATCCTTTTCCCATTGAGTATTCTTGGCTCCCTTGGCAAATATTAGTTGACCATATACGCGTGCATTTATTTCTGGCCTCTCAGTTCTGTTCCATTGGCGTATGTGTCTGTTTTTATGCTAGTACCATACTGTTTTGATTACCATAGCTTTGTAGTCTAGTTTAAAATCAGGAACTATGATACCTCCAGCTTTGTTCTTTTTCAGGATTGCTGTGGCTATTTGGGATCTTTTGTGGTTCCATACAAATTTTAGGATGCTATTTGGAATTTTGAAAGGGATGCTTTGAATCTATAGATGGCTTTGGGTAGTATGGACGTTTTAACAGTATTAATTCTTTCAATCCATGAACATGGAATATCTTTCCATTTATGTCTTCTATTTATGTTTCTGTGTACAGATCTTTCATATCCTTGGTTAAATTTATTAAGTATTTTATTGTTTTTGATACTATTGTGAATGGGATTATTTTCTTTATTTCTTTTTCAGATATTTCATTGTTATATAGAAATGAAACTGATTTCTGTATGTTGCTTTTGTATCCTCCTGCAGTCCCCCTGAATCTGTTGATTCATTCTAACAGTCTTTTGGTGGCCTCTTTAGGATTTTCTATATATAAGATCGTATCACGTGCAAACAA